GCCACACGGACCCCCATAGCCATAGCCTCCAGAGCCATAGAGACCCCCAAAGCCCAGGGAGCCATAGCCCCCAGAGCCATAGAGACCCCCAAAACCCAGGGAGCCATAGCCCCCAGAGCCATAGAGACCCCCAAAGCCTCCATAGCCATAACCCCCAGAGCCAAGGGAGCCAAAGCCCCCATAGCCCCCAAGGACGGGTGCTCCAGCAGATCCCACAACTGCATCCTGGGGGAAAGAGCTGAGGATGGGGCCAGGGAAGGTGACGGCGACGGGAGGTGGCTGGATCACAGTTGTAGAATCAGGGCACTGGCGGACACACGGCTCATTCCCACTGTCAGCGAGGGGCTGGGGACGGATGACACCGCAGGCGGAGGTGGTGGCCAGGTCATAGCAAGACATCTTGTAGGGATGGAGGTCAATCTACAAGTACAATACATTATTTGCATTAAAAAAATGCTATAGAGTTGGCTGCTTTTCCTCAACAAGCGTTAATTCAAGTACACCAATTTACCCTGTCTATTAGAAATTAAAATTGAAGCAGAAGAGCAAAGTTATTTGCTCAGATGCTTTGATGAGTCAGCGGATCAGCAAGGACTGGGACTCCCCCAAGAATGGAGTGAGTTATTATGCATGATTTCATGACTCTAACTCTTCATTCCCACTGATCTCCTTTGTGCTGATCCTTGTGAGAAGAGGGATTATAAGTCATTGTCTATTCAGATTTGCTCAGTAACTTGTTTGGTGAGACCATTAGCAGGGAATTGCAAAGATTATTGTCTCAAATTTCCAAACATTGAATCAGGGACATTTACAAGTAGCTTAACATCGCAGCATTTTGAGTCTGGCTTCCAACTCTTTTGAAAAATATCTCATTCCAAACAACTTGCCCCCATTAACAGGGAAAACCCAGAGCCATCCAATGCCTTAAATTCCCTCCATGACCCCTCTTCTCTTCATTTAAGTAATTCTTATAGTGCCTTTTCCACAGCTCTCAATTCCTCTCTCTGTCCTGCTTCAAGCCAGTGCCCAATCTCTGGTAGCATTCAAGCCCATTTATTTTGAATTAATGTAAAAGCACCTTGAGTGATCTGCAACAGAATAAGCTGCAGATAATGCAATGTCTTCTTCTAAGCTCAGCATTCCCCTGTGAACCATGAAGACTTACCCTTTTCCAAATTATTTCCAGTTATCCATACAAATAAGAGAGCAGAGGAATGCATATTGAACTAGTCACACCATTTCTTCAGCAATTGGAAGTGAGCTAATGATTTTCTGCCATATCAAGAAACTTTGAGTTAGCTTTGAAATTAAAAGCCAGTCTTGAATGCCAGAGAACATCGATCCATAACACTTTTAAGCCCTTTTGTAAGAGCAATCTTTTCACCTAAAATTTTACCCACTAGTTCCTAATGGAAGAGACCATCCTAGATTAAATCAGTAGCAAAGAGCTATTCCAGAAGCTGGAAAGAGCAAATTCAGACTTACCCAATTGGCTGAGAAGAACGAGTGAAGGCAAGAGGTTGGACGAGCCTTGAGTGAAGAGAAGAGGTTGGAAGAGCCTTGAGTGGAGAGAGCTTTTATACACTTCACACTGCCTGAGGGATGAGGTTGTTTTCATGACCGTGGATCTAATTAGTCGACACGGCACATTTTTGGTATTGATAGCTCTGTGCAGTGACGAAATCCTCTGTTTTTGTTTATTACTTGATTTCAATTATCATGTAACATAACACACGCCTTACATCACACCAGGTTCTTTCATCTGAGAGACTGATGGGTGAAATTAATGCATCTTTCATCCTAAAACATGATTCATTAAATTAATATCAGTTTTCTATCCTCACTGGAGTTACACCATGTACTAAACTGCTTATACATAGGTACTCTTCTTTTGCTGACTTTTAGGATGCTGCTGCTCAGACATTCACCAGAAACAACCTGCTGTGAGGTGCTTCTTTCAAAGTCCTTTACATAGGTTTCCTCTCAAAGATAAAATACATAAAATAAATATCATTAAATCCTCGGGAAGGCAGGGAATAGCTTCCTTATGTGTTTAGGTTTTTTTCTGAGATGTGATAAAATTTGTACTGGAATCCATGGATGTTCCTCAATACTCTCTGAATCAAATTATATTGTGAGCATTCCTGAACATGCAGATGTCCAAAAACAGCCTTAGATTTTATCAGACCCTCAGACCATAGCTTAAAGCTGAATTTAGCTCTGAAAGGAGAGATATTTCTATTTTTCATGCTCAGGATGGAGAGCTCAAAATAGCCTTCAAAATGTACACTGATTTAATATCTGAATTTGTGATTTACCAAGATAGATGTGTGCTTTTGTAAAATGTATACAGGAGAACCCCCCAATTTAACCATATTAGGAACAGAACCTTTCTTTTTCAGAGCAAAGAAGAGAGCTGAGAAATGAGATTTCAGAGTTACAAGCTAAGCCACAGTCTGTAAGCATTATCAACCCAGTGGATTCATCCCAGGACATGCAATTCTTACTGGGGTCCCATTTGCTCATCCTTTACGTTTTATCTCTGCCTCTCTCCTGCAGCTCAGCAGAAACATGAACAAGCTCCTTCGGCTGCTCAAAACCACCAAGACCTCCTGCTTAAACCAAAGACCATTCACAAAATCATAAGCAGCCAGGGATACTCAAAACTTGCAGCTCAGTATCTTGACAGGCTACATTTTCCTAAAGTTTTCTTTAATTTCTATCTTGCTCCTCAGGATTTCAGTCCACAACCCATCTTGTAGCAAGCCCCATCACTGGAGGCATCTTTCAGCAGAACAATTATGAGGTGCAAATCCAATGGGAAAAGCAAATGCTGCCTTCTGCTGAGGTTTCTTTCCTTGCCTGTGCCATTATTCTAATACTATATCATTATCATATTTATCACAATTATCAACGTGGTTACCTTCAGACCACATGTTATTGCTAAATTATGAGCTTTTTCCAAATATGGAGATTTCCTGAGTGATAATACTTCAAAAAATGTCATCTCAAAATTTTACAAGAGCATTCCAAGGGATTTTCAAATACCTCAGGAGCACCCATTACTAGCTTATACATACTGTGTCATAATTATATAAAAAGTACGCATACGCCCCATTATTATGAGAGATTATCACATTAAAATGGGTACTTTAAGGTCACTTGGGTTTTTCCTGTAATCATTTCATTGTTTATAAAACTTTTGGGGCCTTCCTTTCTTGGGCTTGAAAAACAAAAACCGCCTTTTCTTTTATTAAATCTGCTTGGGTTAAGTGAACGATTAGCCAGAGAAACCCAAAACAAACCCAGGGCGCAATGGGCTCTGTCTTCATTGCATCAGGGCTAGAATCCCTTGTAATAGCTATGTCTTACTACCTGATGTACTTGCTTCTCTTAGTCCTTTATTCCTAGGTGCATATCTCTGACATGTAACAAGAGGAGAAAACATGATAAAATAAACAGGAAAGCAAAGCTCAATGAAATAACTCAGAAAAATCAGTTTCCATAGATTTGTGACTGCCAGCTGAAATGTTTCTTTGTTCCTGGGATTGCAGGACAACTAGAAGAAAGCTCTCCAGAAGCCATTCAAAGATGCCCCTGATTATTGTGTTTGCCTTGTATTGAGTAACTCGAGGTAGAACTGCTAAGTCTGCAGAACGAATGCGTTCACCCTTGTTATTTGCCTCCGACCTTCATTTGCCATCCTAAAAGGAATCCCATTTTGTCTCCATGTACGCTGTTGACTACGCCGAAAGACCTGTAACTGGACAAAAGAAGTGACTGTCCTCCTGTCATCCTCATTATGCAGGACTCTCAAATAAGTCAAGTCAGCTTACTTCCTCCCCTGATGCTACAGGATGCAATGGAATAATAAAAAATAATTCCGCACATAAAGACTGGAGATAATGGGGAGCCCTGCGGTGGAGCGTGCGTGTCACGCTATGTGTGGGTTTGAAGTGCCTGCAATGCACAAACAAAAAGCAAACCCAATTTCAGCACTTTGAGAAACTCCGTGTCCTACAACTTGGGGTTGGGATGCAATTATGAACTTGCGCACAGGATGCCTAATGTCCCCCAGGCAATGAGCAGAGCGGTATAAAAGCTCTCTCCATTAAGTCTCTCTATCCACTTCTCTCATCTTGCTCGCCTTTGTGAATTGGGTAAGTCAGACTTCTCCCAAACTTTGCTAAACTTAACTTGCTGTTAAGAACTCTTGATTTTAACTTTGGACCAAGTCCTCTTCATTTACTGTCAGTGATCTGTGTATTATTTGCTGCTGGAAACAATGTTTGGTTGCTCCTTTGTCACCAAGCTCTGGTAAAAGTAGGCTCCATAAGAAGGGAATATCAGGCAGTTTTGAATCCCAAATGTGTAACATTTTAGTGCTTCAAATAATTCCTTGACTATTTTAGGAGATAGAGAATAATACATATACATAGTTATATATGGCTGTGTTTAGCAGAGTTCTGCTGAGTTTATAACATGAAAGATCAAACTTATTAAGTAGAAACCATCAACTGATAGTAATGTAATATTCTCAAAACTAGATCTGGAAACACAAAATATACAATTGAAAAGTATATGACTTTGTCATACCAAAATTAAAACTAGTCTCTAGATTACAGGGCTAGGAAGCACAGCAATAGAAAATAAGTTTCCTTCCCAGACTTATTTCTGATACCCTGTTGGACTGCTTCACCCTTACTTAACGTTTGGTATTTCTTTAATGCTAACACAAATGTCCATATTTTACAGACCAACTCCCATCCCTACAAGATGTCTTGTTATGACCTGGCCACCACCTCTGCCTGCGGTGTCATCCGTCCCCAGCCCCTCGCTGACAGTGGGAATGAGCCGTGTGTCCGCCAGTGCCCTGACTCCACCACTGTGATCCAGCCTCCTCCCGTCGTCGTCACCTTCCCTGGCCCCATCCTCAGCTCCTTCCCCCAGAATGCAGTTGTGGGATCTGCTGGAGCACCCGTCCTTGGGGGCTATGGGGGCTCTGGGGGTCTGTATGGCTCCGGAGGCTATGGCTATGGGGGTTATGGGAGTCTGTATGGCTCTGGAAGCTATGGGGGTCTGTATGGCTATGGGGGCCTCCTGAACTATGGAGGTCTGTATGGCTCTGGTAGATCCTATGGTTCTGGCTATTGCAGCCCCTCCTCGTACCGGTACAGGAGTTACAGCCGTGGCACCTGTGGGCCCTGCTAAATCCTACAGCAATATCCCAAAGGAGGTAGAACAAATGGGATATGATAGCTTCACAGCCAAAGAGGTTCAAACCTCCACTGCACTGGCCAAGACCGTGGAGCTGTGGCCCTTCAGCCTCTCTTGAGTTTCTCCTCCTCATTTCTGCATTCAGTTTCTGCTCTTCTACGTCTCCAGTCACATTTCCAGATTGCCTGGGGTGAAAACGTAACAAAATTGCTCAAAATGTTTCCTGTTTGTTCAGATAAGCAGCTAAGACTCGGGAAGAAAATCCAAATCAATCATAGGTGAATGTATCCCTGACTGGAAACCAGTTTCATGCTCCTTGGAGACTCTTTAAATGTATCTTTCTCAACAACATTAAAAGTTTATTGCATCAAAGTTGCCATGTTCTGGTCTTCTTTTCCCATGTTTTTACTTTGGATACTTGTCAAGAGGAGAGGTCTAACCTGTGCATCTGCCCTAGCAGTCTAAACTCTGTAGGTTAATGTCCTGACCAGAAAAAACTTCCCCATTTTTCAGATAAAAATTCTTATCATATCTGAAGAATTTGGCTTCTTCTTTGTACATCCACTTATTACAGATTAGTAGGGGTAGAGAAATGAAACCGTAGACTTCTAATTTTAAACTCCTTCCTAAAAACATTAGGCTGCAGCAAGAATTTATTCCAGGCAAGCCTTTGATTAATCTCATTGAATTTCAGATTCTCACTCAAATGCTTAAACAGTAACAGCCTCTGCAGAAAGTTGAGCTCTTTTTCTGTCAAGTCCCTCAAGGAAGAAAGAAAGTTTTCTGGCCTATAGGATGCAACTTTTAAATCTGGAGCATGGGTAACGGTCTTTCTGTATAATCATCAAATCTAAGGTGTCAGATGGTTTTTTCTGATGGAAAAACAGCTACTCCATACAGCTACCCCAAGAGCTAATTCATCCATGCTGGTAAGAGCAGCTTAGATAGACAGAACAGAGCTGTGGTGCCTGGAAAGCTGGAAAGGTAGGAGAAAAGTCATAAACCCATACACATATACTCAATGCTGTTGCTGTGTTTCCCAGCTCCTCCTGCATGGGAAATCCCTACAACAGAAACTCCTGCTTGCAGCAGCTCTGAATTTCATCCTCTCCCATGCCATTCCTCACCCAAGAGATCCAGCAGAGATTCCACCCACCTCTGAAGAGTCCTTCTCCTTGTTGCAGCTCCTCCAACCACCCCAGAAGCTCCGTACCAACCCTCCCAGCAGCTCCATACCAATACCTTTGGACCACCCTCTCTCCACCTCCCTAAATCCCTTCCCACTCAGGAGCATCTCTCCCACCTGAGAGCCTCAGCTGCCTCCCTTTTCCCCATAATCTGCTTTGAATCCAGCCTCAGCTCTGCTCCTGCTATGATCAGGGCACATGTTCCAATGGAAGGCAGATTTAGTAGGGTTTCTTTCTAAACATTAGATTTTTAGCATGACCTAGGTGAGCTGGGAAGGAAGGATTCCTGCTCCCTAATATGTGCAACCAACTTCAGTGATAGATGGGCCATTTCAGCTGTGTTTTTGAAGTCTGAGCCCCATCCTATGGAAAGATTTGAGTTTTCCCCCTCTACAGAGAGTTGTACATCCATAACAGGAGAAATTAAAACTAAAAGTTGATATTTTTTGATGCAGAGTAGAATAACTTTAATGAGAAATGAACATTCACAGAAAAGCATTGCAGAGTATCAAGAACATGCATCAGAGCTGAGGCAATTCCTTCCATAATTGTTCTTCTTTGGTTGGACAGTGAAGTGCCATTTTATAAGAATATAAATAACATGTTTTATCCAGCCCATTATACATACTGATGGAAAAAAGCCCAAAAGACCATAAGTAGAGGGTGAAGAAATCAAGAAAGTTCTGTGTGCTCCCAGCTTCACTGCGGTGGGGTGGCAGTGATCAGGATTTCACAACATCTCCTTTGGAACCACTGCTGTGGAGCAAGATAGAGTCTCTTGGTTGCCGGTTATTCAATGCTCAGGGGATATTTCTGTAGGATTTAGCAGGGCCCGCAGATGCCGCGGCCGTACCTGTTCCAGTAAGGGCTGCAATAGCCAGAGCCATAGGATCTACCATAGCCATACAGGCCCCTGTAACCCCCATAGCCACACAGACCCCCGTAGCCATAGCCCCCATAGCCATACAGGCCCCCAAGGCCCCCATAGCCATAGCCTCCATAGCCATAGCCCCCACCGCCA